ATTAAACACACTTACTTGGCAAAGTGGATGAGGTTCTCCCGCTGTGCGGCCGAAGGGGGCACCTCCCCTTCGTATTCTTCAGTGCAGTCGATCTTAGACTACCTGCTTCATTTGAGGAACCAGGGCCTGGCACACTCCTCTATCAGGGTGCATCTGGCAGCCATTTCCGCCTTTCATCCGCCAATCGAGGGGCAGACAGTGTTCTCCCATGACATGACGGTCAGGTTCCTCAGAGGCCTCGAGAGACTTTTTCCTCAAGTTAGGTCCCTGGCCTCTCAGTGGGATCTCAACTTGGTTCTGTCCAGGCTCATGGGCCTGCCCTTTGAGCTTTTGGCCTCGTGCTCCCTGTCTGACCTATCGTGGAAGGTAGCTTTCCTGGTGGCGGTGACGTCAGCCAGGTAAGTCTCCGAGCTATGGGCCCTGACCTCAGAACTGCCATACACTGTCTTCTATAAGGACAAGGTCCAGCCACCTGGCCTTCCTCCCCAAGGTGGTGTCTACTTTCCACATGAGCCAAGACATCTTCCTTCCAGTCTTCTGCCCTAAGCCCCATGAGACTAGTGAAGAGAGGCGCCTTCATGCTTTGGACGTAAGAAGGGCCCTGGCTTTCTACCTAAAGCCAAAGCCTTTCCGTAAGTCAACTCAGCTTTTCATCTCTACAGCTGATTGGATGAAGGGCCTCCACACAGAGGATTTCTAACTGGATCACCTCTTGCATTTGGACCTGCTATGAGTTGGCGGGAGTCCCTCCACCACCGATCGTCAGAGCCCACTCGACCAGAGTGCAGGCATCTTTGGCGGCCTTCCTGGCACACTTCCCGATCCAGGACATCTGTTGAGCCATGACGTGGTCCTCGGTGCTCACGTTCACGGCCCACTATGCCATCACTCAGCAGGCCAGGTATGACGCTGGGTTCGGCAGAGCTGTGTTGCAATCTACACATCCGTGAACTCCTACCCACCTCCGAGGGTACTGCTTGGGAGTCACCTAAGTTGAATGGACATGAGCAAGCACTCAAAGAAGAAAAGACAGTTACCTTTTCCATAACTGGTGTTCTTCGAGATGTGTTGCTCATGTCCATTCCACAACCCATCCTCCTTCCCCACTGTTGGAGTTTCCGGCAAGAAGGAACTGAGGCTGGGAGGAACCGGCAGCGCCCTATATACCGCGGCATGTGGTGCCACTCCACGGGGCGCCAGAGCCAGTCCCCTACAGATGCTGCTGAGAAAAAAACTTCCCTCACCGGTGCATGTGGCGAGCACACACACCTAAGTTGAATGGGCATGAGCAACACATCTCGAAAAACACCAGTTACGGAAAAGATAACTGTCTTTTCAGGACGTGGTGTCGGCCTTGCAATTTCTGGTTCCAGGGTGGTAGGTCAAGGTAAAGTTAATCTGGGCGAAGAATAGGGCCTACCGCAGGCTTAGGGCTTAGGGCCTGGTCCTGCACAGGTATTCCAGGTTCTTATGGTTGGTAAACACTTGGACAAGATGGTGGGCCTCTTCCAAATAGTGTCATCATTCTTTGAAGGTGGTCTTAATTGCCAGGAGCTCCTTGTCAAGAACTCATAGTTTCACTTAGCCAGCTTGAGCTTCCTTGAGTAGTAGGCGATGGGGTGCAGTATTTGCTTGGGTCCAGGCCTTTGGGAGAGGACTGCCATGATTGCCAAACTAGAGTCATCAGCTTCCACAACAATAGCTTGTGTCACATCTGGGTGGGCCAATACTGGAGCAGTGGAGAAGGTAAGCTTCAACTGCTTGAATGCATGCTGGAATGCATGCTCGGCCTTGGGGGACCAATGGAACTGGGTGTTTTCCCAGAGTTGGGCATTTAAGGGCTTGACATTTTCAGAAAAATTGAAAATGAACATCTGGTAGAAGTTCGCAGAACCTAAAAAACATTGTATGTCACGCACATTGCGGAGAGGGTGGGGGTGCCCAGTCACAAACAGCCTGGACCTTACACAGATCCATCTTGATTCCTTCCAGGGACAGGATGAAACCCCAGGAACTCAGTTCAGGTCTGATCAAATGTGCACTTCTCAAGTTTAGCATAGAAACCACTGTGTTGTAGTCTCTCCAGGACTGTGCTGATATAAGTGGTGTGTTGGTCCAGATCGTCTGAGACAATCAGTACATCATCTAAGTACACTGCTACAAACTGGTCCAGTAGGTCTCATAGCACGTTGTTAATAAAGTTCTAGAACATCACTGGGGCATTAGTCAGTCCAAATGGCATAACTAAATATTCAAAGTGGCCATAACAAGTCAAAAAGGCAGTCTTCCATTAGTCCCCCTTGTGAATACAAACAAGGTTGTAAGTTCCCTAAAGATCCAGTTTAGTGAATATGTGGGCAGCTCCATGCAATCCAAGAACTCAGGGATCAGGGTAGCAGGTAACAATTCCAGATTATCTGATTTAGGCCTTAGTAACTGAAACAGAGGTGGAGGCTGCCGTCCTTCCTTTTTACGAAAAGGACCGGGGCATCGGCCAGTGAAGTCGATTTGCAGCTGAACCCCCAGACCAGGTTCTGTTGGAGACATTCTCACCATACTGACAGTTTGGTTTCTGACATTACATATATCTGCCCAAATGGTATCTTCGCCCCTCGCTGCAGTTCTGTGTGGTAATCGTAGTCCTAATGTGAGTGGAAGTTTTCCGCATTGTTATTCTCAGAGACGTCAACCTAGTTGTGATACTTGTGGGGGGAGTTCCAGAGTTCACTCAGTGCAGTGGTTCTCAACCAGGGGTACGTGTACCCATGGGGGTATGGAGAGGTCTTCCAGGGGTCATCTAGAAAGTTGCTTAGTTTTACAACAGTCTAGGTAAACAGCACTAGCAAAGTCAATACAAACTAAAATTTCATAAATGACTTGTTTACACTGCTCTATGTACTATACACTGAAATGTAAGTACAATATTTATATTCCCACTGATTTATTTTATAATTATATGGTAAAAATGAGAAAGTAAGCAATGTTTCAGTAATAGTGCTGTGACGCTGTTGTATTTTTATGTCTGATTTTGTAAGCAAGTAGATTTTAAGAGAGGTGAAACTTGGGGGTACATAAGACAAATCAGACTTCTGAAAGGGGTACAGTAGTCTGGAGAGGTCGAGAGCCACTGCCCCAGTGGGTGCTTCCATAGGGGTGACTACACCTACTTGAACCTTCTTGAGTCTGGGTGCAATGTTCTCTGGTCCCTGGCCATGCTGTCAGTAGACTTCCGACAGGAAAATGACGTACTCTTTTTCCACTCTGTATCTGTCACGAGGTGGTGAAAGTGCACTGCATAGGAGGCCACTGCTTCTTGCTCCTGCCTCAGGGTGGCCTCAGCCAGTCAGGCTCAGTGCAGGTAACTGAAGACAGTTGACGTCAATTGGAGAAAGCCTTCCCCGTTGGACAGCATGGGGCTATGGCCTTTTAGCATGGGGGATGCCCAGTGTAATAGGTCTCCTGCCAGCAGGCTGATTACAAAGCCACCTTGGCCAAGTCAGAGGAATAGATTTGGAGCCTTATCAGAAACAGACAGCGGCACTGGTTCGTGAATCCCTGGAACCACCAGCTGTTCCCATCGAGCTGTTTGAGCAAGGGTATCACAGGCCCCTTTCAGGCAAGCTGCTGTAGGCTGTGTTTGCAGGCCAGTGTTCTCGGTGCTGGTCTGCCTCACTTGGTCCTGCACCTGCTGGTTGTCCAAGGTCAACTGTGCAACTTGGGCCTGCAGTGCTTGATCATCCACCCAGTGGCAAGAGGTCCATTTGGGCAAGTCCAGTGCTTCTGGTGGCCGTAGATGTGCCACTGGGTCCATCCTTGGTCCCGCAGGGTTACTGAGGTACAGACAAGCTGCTATGGCTGAGTTGTGGGCAGCCAGACCTAGTAGTCAGAGCCAGAATCCACTCTCATGGGAAAGGAGTCAAGAGTCAGCTGGGTCAAGATACTGGAAGGTCAGAAGCAGGGGACAAACCAGAGGTGAGGAACCACAAGTCAGATGCCAGGAGCCAAGCTGAGTCTGAATGCCAGAAGATCAAGCTGGGGAAGCAGGAGCCGATAGTAGGAAGTGCAAAGCACACAGTCCAGAGCAGGCTAAAGTCCAGTTGTTCACACAGCTTCCTGTTCCTGCTGCTAGCTTAAGTAGGACCAGTGGGCCAGTCAGATGCTCTGGGAATCCACCAATTGGACTGAAGGGACAGGTGCTCACACGGGGGCTGGACTTCATGTGTCTCGGGTAAGCTACTGCCAGCAGGCTGCCAGGTGGAGGGTTGGAGTGTGCCTGTTCCCATAAACCTTGCAGGCCCAGGCTTGAGGCCCATCATGACATATGCCACTCCCATTCACTTCAGTTAATTAATTGTCTGTATCCACGGGCAGAATTAGGGCTCGTCTACACTTACCAGGGATTGACGTGCGGTGATCGATGCATCGGTGGTTGATTTAGCGGGACTAGACCCGCTAAATCGACCGCAGCTCGTTCTCCCGCAGCTGTACTCCACCTGAATGAGAAGCGCAAGGGGAGTCGACGGGAGAGCGTCTCCTGTCGACATAGAGCAGTGTGGACCCCGCGGTAAGTAGATCTAAGTACGTCGACTTCAGCTACGTTATTCATGTAGCTGAAGTTGCGTAAGTTAGATTGATCTCCCGCATAGGGTAGACAAGATCTAAGTGGGCCTATAGTGAAGAGGAACAATGGGTCTTTTAATGATAGGTGTGCAATTGTTTTGCTGCTTATAGTTTGAAGAAATTATCACTTCCCTAAGGTTTTTACTCTGACACTGAACTTAAACCTGTGAAAGAAATGTATTTTTACTTATTAAAAAAGAACACCTGGGTTTTTCTTTCTCTCTCTTTAACTCTGTGGCAGTTATGTTTATAGACTTGCCTCTTTCCCTCCCCACTTTTGGTAGGGAAAAAGAGGTAGGCTGAGAGTTAATTACTGCTCATTACTGTGGCCCTGCTAGATGACAAAAATAATATTCAACATCTGTTACTTTTCCCTGCAGGCTGACTTAAACTGCAACATTCAAGATGATACAGGAGCATTTTATGGAGTAACTAGCCAATATGAGAGCTCAGAAAACATGACAATCACCTGTTCCACCAAAGTCTGCTCATTTGGAAAGCAAGTAGTAGAAAAAGTAGAGGTAGGATGTACTTCTGGACGGCGTTACTCTGCTGACTCATGATATCATACAGTACATTTCTGCCGATGTAATGGCAGTACACAATGGAAAATTGACCTGATTTATTTTACTTAATCCTCTTATCTCACTTTCCTACCCTCCTCCAATCTTTCTTGAAGGAATGTTTTTCCTTCCTGATAGTGCTTAGGTTAGTTTGAATTACTGTGTTTGTGGTGACACTAGTGAAAGTAAAATCCCAATTACTTACTGACTTAGGGTACCTTTTCCATCCTTCCCCTGGCAACCACTGTCAACACTGCAACGTACCTTCAGCTGGGGAGCCTGGAACTGACGCCAGTGCTGATTCCTGCATCTCCCCAGCAAAAGAGCGATGAAGCAGAAATAGGTTTTCTCCCATTTTCAACTGGATGCATTACTTTCATGACGATTCAGACCCACATTTGGCCAGACCTGTAACCTCTTTGGAACCATATTAAGATGGCAAACAGCTCCCACTGTCTAGATTTCTGGGTGTTAGAAATGTGTAGTGTGATGGGTTTCTTCCATGCCCACAATAATTTAACCTGGTGAAGTGCACACTTTCTACAGACACCATTGGCCTTTGGATGAAAAATAAGTTTGCAACATTGTTTTACCTTTGGGGTACAATGGCTGCTTTTTTTTTTTAAGGCACAGCACTGTATAGTTTAGTTGGTTAGGTATTGGGGGTGGGGGGTTGTATTGTGATGTTACAATGATGTACCTTGTGTTTAATGTAGCACTCTCCCCCCCCCCCCATTTGTTAGCTACATTGCAGTTGTGGCACAGTGACTTCCAGTTTAAAGCTGTAATTTTTAAGCATTTATAGAGGCAGTGGCTGCTGTGCAGGCCCTATTTTTGCTATTGTGGTCCCCATAAATGGTGACCACCAAAGAACAACAACTTCTGGCATCACCTCCACTATCCCAATCCTGGCTGAAGTCAGCAGCCCAAGAAGTCCAGCCAGCCATTGAGAACTATTTATCATGACAATAGACAGTTGCGGGGTGAAGGGCAGGAAGGCACTGAATCACAGACCCATCTAGCGTGACCAGATGTCCCGATTTTATAGGGACAGTCCCAATTTTTGGGTCTTTTTCTTCTATAGGCTCCTATTACCCCCCTCCCACTGTCCCGATTTTTCCCACTTGCTGTCTGGTCACCCTAGACCCCATCCCCTTAGTGGGATCTGTTGGGCCAGGTACTAGTCTATTCTCCCTCCTTCCATCACAGTTGACTCTTTTCCTCTGATGCAGACAACTGCTTAGTGAGTCATATAGTAATTAAAATATAACATTAAGATATGGGTAAAATTACTCCCTCTTGCTTCCTTTGTACCCAGTCATCTTTAAACTGCTTTAAAATCATTGAAGATCAAGTTTGCTGTGAAGTTTCTTTCTCAATGCATTTATACTCACTTGAGAGCTAGCTTATACAGGCCTCATCCTCTGTTATTTAAAATTAGAAACTTGGAAATAAATCAAGATTGCATACCCAATATATAATTTCCTAAATTAGGCTATGGAAGGAGACTTGTGTGATAAGACTAGCATTTCAGATCAACAACTCCACTTTGTACATGTTGTTGTTTCCAAGCTAACAAAGAGAACCAACCCAACATTTTGCATTCTCTCTATTGATCACTGTAGAAATATATTTGTTGGTAAATATTCTTAAAATGTTTTTCATTTTCTATTTAGACGGAATATGCAAGGTTTGAGAATGGCCGGTTTGTGTACAGAATAAACCGCTCTCCAATGTGTGAATATATGATCAACTTCATACACAAGCTCAAGCATTTACCAGAGAAATATATGATGAACAGTGTATTGGAAAATTTTACAATTTTGTTGGTAAGCATTCACTATTCTTTACTGACTGAGTCTAAAATATGTTCTGTTTTTGGCAGGGGTCAATTAACTTTTAAATTAAGGACCAGACTCAGAAACCCTTACTTATACAAGGCCAAGTGGTCCTATTGACTCAGTAGAACTATTCATGGAGTTAGATCCTATTCAACCTGAGGAAGAGTGATAGAGTCTAGTCTCAAAACATAAGGCTGGAACATTGTTTCCCAAAAGTGGGGTCTCAGTCCTGTGGGAGGACACAAAAGGCTAGCTGGGGTAAGACCTCTCAGTTGTTTTCCAGCTTACTTTTTTTCATATGTTTTTAAGTAACTGTCTAGCTGTTATGATTGCAAAGAAAACCCTCAAAACAGGACCTTGGTATAAACAGTGCAGCGATGTTTGCCTTAATTTGCAGAGAGCCTGAAACAAGCTCCGTGGTGTAAAGTGACCAGTTCATTTCAGTGGGTGCTAACTCCATTGCCAGTGGTGATACTTTAAATGTCATCATTGTTAACTATTTCAGTGCTCATCGAAGCATGTAAGAAAGGAGAGGAGTAGCACAGTATGAAGATCTAAAGTTTGAGAAACACCAAGTTACAATTATATTTTCTTCTCTTTTCAAACCTACAATATTTTTTTAGTGCAAATCCTTTTTTCCAAGTTTATAACACTACTGTCTACCTTTTCTCTCCTCCTCCCCCCGTAGGTTGTAACAAACAGGGATACACAAGAAACCCTACTCTGCATGGCTTGTGTATTTGAAGTTTCGAACAGTGAACATGGAGCACAACATCACATCTACAGGCTTGTAAAGGACTGAGCAGTTATTTATATATACACTTCATTACACTTCTTTATCAAAAACACAGACTGTAAACCTCAACACTAAGTGGCAGTGCCTCTGGCCCAGCTTTCACCCACATTTTTCTAAATCCCGTTTTAGTGAAGTCATTTTTAATGTGTTCATATATAATTGTAGCTGTGAAATTCTGGTACAGTTGTAAAAAATTCTTTCTAAAACTAAGTGTTCTTCAAATTTGTAAACGACAGTTCTTTGGGAAGACTGTATTTAAGAACCTAATGCCTTTGTCTGTGGAGGCTTATTTTTAATTGTGATAGAAAAATGTAAGACAGAGCATTTGCCGTGGGGAAAACTTACAGCATTTATAAGAATTTATTTAGGGTTTTGTTTTGTTTTTTTCCAAAATAAAATACTTATTTTACGATGCAAATGAAATTGAAATGAATCTTTAACTATAACTGTAAATTAGTACACAAAGTTAATAATCTTTATAGAATTATCTTTGTAACTAATTAGAGTGGAAGATACGGACGAATGTAATTCACTAAATTATTTTTTAAAATGAAACATTTTTTCTGTTTGAAACCAAATGATAAATATAGCCTTAAGAAATGCCTGATAGAAACAAGCAGGTCCTAAAATTAGGCAAATTTTGTATTTTTTTTCTCAATGTTAAAACTAATCTTCTAATTCATTAAACTTTCCAACAGGTATTGCAGAGAAAGAGAACATCATCCCTTATACTTAACGTATCTAGTGTATTTTTAAAAATATAAAGTTGTGTTGTACTAATATGGAAATTTGATTATTTAATGAAAAAATGATGGCTCATTTTGCAATAAGTAGGTAAATACTGAAAATTTAGACTTACATTTTATGTAGTCTTGTGTGTGCAGTTATATTTTATACGGACAACTATATTTTCTGTTGAGTGAAAAATTTGCAATACCGAAATTAACAAACATAGGGGGAAACAATTGACATTATTACTGCATTGCGAATAATCTGTAAACTGCAAGCTAGAAAAAGTAATGTGGTTGAGAGAAGAATACGTAGGCCAGTAAAAGCCTCATCAGCTTTAATGTCGTAGGGATGCTAGAAAATCACAACCATCATCAGGCAAAACAGATTTGAAGGGTTATGTTCTTCCTTTTCTCATTCTTCATGATGTTCCGGCACATATATTATCCCAGTTCTGTCTCCAGTCTCAAACAAGACATGGTGCATTTAGTACTAGTAGGCAGGGCATGTAGGACACACCCATCAATACCACTTAGGGTCTGATTGCCTTTCACATCCAGAATACACACATGTGCAATGTTCATCCCTCTGATTAATAAACTGAAAAGTAGGTAGTTCAGAGAAGATTCTATCATAGAGTGAATTGAAGAGATTTTAATACTAGCAAGGATTAAAAATGTAGTCATGGGTGTGAATGGTTTTCTGGGATACACATGTATCCCATGTTCTCTGATTCTTATTGGCACAGAAATGAGGAGAAATGGGTTATAATGGGAAATAACTAGGCTAAAACAATGCAATCCATTTGGCAAACCACAAATCCTAACAGGACATATCAAACACAGGTTACAAGATAAGATGCATGACTGCTGCAAACATCCAAAAACCACATTTGTCAGGGGCTCGGTAAGTCTTGGGGAGTTTTAAGAATTAATGGAGATATCCTATCTCCTAGAGCTGGAAGGGACTTTGAAAGGTCATTGAGTCCAGCCCCCTGCCTTCACTAGCAGGACCAAGTACTGATTTTGCCCCAGATCCTTAAGTGGCTCCCTCAAGGATTGAGCCCCTTAAGGATTGAACTCACAACCCTGGGTTTAGTAGGTCAATGCTCAAACCACTGAGCTATCCCTCCCCTAAGTAAGGTACAGAAATGTGTTTCAGCAGTTCCTTTCTCAGCTGCAGTTTTCAGGCATGTGCCTATGTGTAATTAGAAGCTTGAATTTGCCTCCAGGTATAATATATTGGTTACAGTTTTAATTTTTATGGCCCTCAGTTATAGCCGCATAAATATAGATGAAGATTCTTAGTCAGTATACTGGCTAGAAGAGCAATCAGTATTTGTAAGGTGCAGCAAGTTGTGGGTTGTTGTATGCTTGCCTTTCATTGTGTTAATCTTTAATACTGTTAGGATTTACATTAGAGGAAGGGGCCAGCATCTGGGGGGAGGGGTTTGAAATTCCTTAGGCTATAAAACATCTGATCTGTCTAACTATAAAAGGTGGGTGATTGCTGTGATGTCTAGCTGTCATATTATCTACTTGACGATATTAGAGCTGATGAATCTTTTAGTTGTTTATATTCTGTGAAGCATAAAATTTGATGTCCATGTCATACAGTCTCTTAATACGTTTATAACACTAACAATCACATCAAGAAAAGCACTGCATTGTAACAGCCTAACGGTAGCTCTTTATTCTAAGCACTTGGTGTTACAAGTCAAAAACTACTTCTTTTGTTTTGTTCTAAAGTTGTCTCTTATTTAGGTTTTTGAATTGTGATTGTGATGGATTTTTTGATAACAAATTCTTTGAGGAGTATAAAATATAGAATTCAATTTGCAAAACCAGGTACAGATTTTTTATACAATCTGGCACATTACATATGTCATAACTATAGGGTATAAAAAGTCACAGTGTTTATTGGTGTTCACATTTGTAACGTTAGGAAAAAGATTTGCATTGTCTTTATTTTACACTTATGTAAATGATCTAAACCCTGCACATGTTCATTCTTAAAAGCCTTAAGTCCTTCAAATGTATATCGTGGAGTGTGTAGTCCAAAAGGCTGCCTGTAAACTGTGAGCTCTTTTGTAAGCTGGAAGAATTTATCTTGTTACTGTTACTTTTTCTAGGAACTTTTTAATTCAGAGCTGCCAAAGCATTACAATATGCAGTGCCTTAGTGTTGTATTAGAAATACCTTTAGCCTCTTACATCAGTTTTATATGTTGTTTTATTAATTGGTTCCGTTTTAAAAAAAAATCTGTTCCCCCTCCACAGAGAAGCTCTTTGACTACTTGGTCTAAACTTTCAGCATAAGTCAGTCCCATTATTACACAATTAAATGTCTATACCAAAATGAAAGGTTACAACTTCATAGTTTTCTGTGAAAAATGAATTGTACTAATAATGCTGCCTTTTTAAATTTCATGACCAAATACTTAACTATTTGTGACTCTTCTGCACTCTAGCATGAAAGTGCCTTTGGTTTGAAATTCCAGCTTAGAAAAGTGCTGCCATAATAACGACTATTTGTAGAGAGACCAAAAATATTAAGTGATCACCATAATGCCTTTGGTTTATTGGAATAAGTCAAAACTACAGGCCTCCATTCACGAAAGAGCATCATTTATGCTAATGTCATTTTGCAAATCACCAGATTGCATAATGCTGGAAAATAATCTATATGCCATTTAACTGTTTGACATAGTTTTGCAACATTGTAACCCAGCGACTGATTTGTTTATAATATAAAAATGATCAGTGATTCACTTTTTTCATCTTTTCATCCAGTCTTGCATCTGAGTAATGTGACGTCCATATAAACGACCGAATTTCAGACAGTGGATAAATGTGACTTTATTATTCTATTCTGATAAATATTTCAGTATCTGTGAAGGTTTCTTCTGTATCCTAATTTTGCACTTATTTTGTTTACAAAGTCAAGTGTTCTGAAAGTCAGATGCATAAAATTTGAGATGAAAGTGCAGAACAAAAATTAATTGGAGTAAATGTAATTTGACGTGCTTATTAGCATCAAAATGTTAAGCATGAGCACTGTTAGGTGAAGGTGCTGTATGGAAAACTGCGTGCAGCACCATTCCAAACTCTGTTTTTTTCCAAGCACTGTCATAGTGCAGGAAAGGCAGCTCCTTTAAATAACGTGTCTGCTTTCGACACATTCTGTGAATTGGGGCCATAGTGTACACTAGAAGTGAAATTGACAGGAAGAGGAGCAAGATTTATAAAAAAATAAGAACAAATATCAGCCAAACCAAAAGCTGGCAAATGGATTATATAGTTGTGAATACAATTTTAATGTGATTTTTAAATATTTGATGAAAACTAAGATTAACTTTTTATATATAAATATTGTGACACTATATGGTAAATATTGTGATAATTCAAGTTCCCTGTCTCTAAAATACTTTTTTTTTTTTTTTTATTCCTCCAAGGTCTAAATCTCATTTACCTTCCTCACACAAATAGCCCTGTTGAACTCAATGAGGCTGGGAAAGGTAAACAGGATTTGGCCCCCAAAGTACAGCATGTGTTTACAGTTATTAAATATAACTGCTGGGAGAAAGATTTGATAACAATTGTGATGAACAATAGTTTATTGCGAAGTCAATTTAATCCTATTATTTACTATCGCATTGTACAGAAGTTCAAATAAGAATAATGGTACCATTTTTGGCAGTTCAGAAATTACTACTAACATGTAGTTTTACTTACTTGAATTCCAAAATGATTTATTTAGGTACTGTACCACTATTTTAAAGAAGTTACACATCTTATGCTTGTTTCCCATCTTTCCCGTTCTACTGTAGCTACAGCCATTCAGTTTGGCAATAGCTCCACACTCAACAAACTCACTGCTTTCTGTGCTCTTAATGAAAGAACGAAAGGGTGTCTGTTAACATTAAATGCAAGTAACTGACAAATAGATGTCAGATATAACATTTGACAAGCTGATTCGTTTCTATTTATTTTCCCATTCTAATTCCTAGACATGCTTGCTTTTCCATCAAGTTTTACTGGATCATTCAGACCCAGGAATGTTTGATGTAATATTTAACATGACCCACATTAATACATGTAGTACCTAGTCACTCAACATACATGGTAGTAGATTCCAGTTTCTCAGGATGATTTTTTCCCCCTATCTTTCATTATAAGATTTTTTTTTTAAACCCCCTGAAAAGATTGAGGCTAGGTAATTCAGAGTACAAAAAATACTTTAGAGATCTTGGTCTCTAACTTTTCAGGTCAAACTTGCTGAGATCATGTGATTAGTTTTACTGTGTAAATTAACTCTTAAATGCACTCAGCTGACAAAGAAAAGATGTGTCCCTGTTACCTCCTTACAAAATGTGTGTGTTTGTTTTTTGTTTTTTTATGGGCCTCTTTGCTTCAGGCTCTTGACTGCAGACAAAAAATACAATATGTGCCTGAAAAAAAAGACAGAAGAATTTTATAACATTAAAAACCTGAATAGCCTTTAATTCTTCAATATCAGTACATTTTATGTAAAATAGTTTTGGTTTTTTTGCCATGTGCATTTGTTCACATTTGTAAATGACTTAATGGAATTCTCACTTTATGTTTATTTGTGTAATGTGTATAAACTGGGTTTGTGACTTAAGCATATTCATATATGGTCAGTGGTTACTTTAATATTGTACTGCTGCTGGTAACTTTTGATGTAGAACCTCCCTTTTGATGATAAAGTACCTCTTGATTAGACAGGGAGGGAAAGCTCTGATAAAAGTGAATGTTCTCAAATGTTTTTTTTTTTTAACATATTTGCAGAAGCTTTCAAAAGGAGTTTCAGTCAAACCTCTTGGCAGTACAGTAATCTTGTATTTGTTATTGTCTGTGTGTAGGTACTGGTACCTTTTTTGTTTAAAAATGTTTTAAGTGTTGGCTTTAAAGTGACTTTATCTTTAGTATGATAGTAATATGAAAATTATAGGTTTTGTGTGCAGAGAATTTTTTTATAAAGTGCTTTGTAAAAAAAAATGTATTCTAGCTTTTGCGGTACATATGTGTGATAACTTTAATATCCATGACAGTTAAGTGCAATTATTTCATCACTCTAAAAATGCTATTTTTGTGTCGGTTACTGCAGGTGTTTTCATGTCTTTGCAACGTGACACATTTTGATGCCTTCTTGATAAAGTGGTAGAATTTTTGTAGCTTTCTAGAAACTTTGTATTCATACAGTATCGATTGAAAATAAAGAAAATGAAAGTGTTTGGTGCATTATTTTAATCTGCATGGAAATCATTCTTTTTACATATTTTAGAAATTAGAAAGTAAAATTGCCCAGGTACCTAAGTGACTTAGTAGCCTAAGCCCCATTTTCAAAAGTAACATAGGGCCAAATTTAGAAAGGTATTTACATGCCTAAATATGCTAATGGACATCTAGTGCGATTTAGAAAAAGGAAAGCAGGTTAGGTGGCTAACTCCTATTTAAATAAATTACCTTTGAAAATCTGGCCCTTAGGAGTGGATTTTAAAAGTGTAAATGGCACTTTGGCACCTTACTCCTGCTGAAAGTCAGTGGAAGTTGGGCACCTAACGTTTGTTTGAGCCTTTGAAAATCTGCCCCTTTGAGCCTCGTTTTCAGCCAGGCCTCAACCCAACCTCCATTTATGAGGATAGAAAATAAATGTGTTGTATACTTTTAGCAGTTAGATGAGTAATGATGTGTGGACACAAATGAATAGTTAAATGTCTTAATATTTGCACCTGCAATTCATCGGAGCACACAATTATGTGTGCAAAAATTGAGATTATATCTTAATCTGTAGTTTTGAGGGTTCCAATTAAGAAATGTTTATTGTTGTGCAGTCTTTTCCTGCACCATCAGTGCTCCGTTGTTGTAAATTTTAACTGAAAACTTGATTAAGGCTATCCGTTACCATTAAAATGTCTACATTTTCCACAGCAGCAATATTTTGCAAATATCAAGTTTTAATGGCAACCACTGTAGCT